CAGTACTGCTTCATCATTAGTGGAGGACGACTTTGGTAAGGCTCAAGGGTTCTCGAACTACTTTACCAACGTACATACCATAGAAGCGCCCTTCACGTCAGCGTATACAGATCCCCCATACATACACTGGATAGCGTGACCATTAAAGAACTCCATATCTTTGGTCTGCTAAATAAGCTTGACATAGGTAAATCCACGGGGCCCGATGAATTACATCCTAGGCTACTGAAGGAATTATCTAACTTCGTTGCAAGCCCTTTAATTACATGCTTTAACCTATCCGTTACGCCGAGTCGTTTACCGAAAGACTGGAAAAACGCCATAGTAAGTCCTGTCTTCAAAACAGGTACGAAACACAAATCTGAGAACTACCGCCCCGTTAGCTTAACTAGTGTGGTTGGTAAAATCTTAGAAAAGATTATTCGGAAGGAGCTGTTTAAGTATCTTGATAGAAACCGGATCCTCTCGGAGAAGCAGCACGGCTTCAGAATAAGTTATTCTTGTCTCACTAACTTATTAGTGGCTCGTGAAAGCTGGTGCGCTCTTAAGGACCAAAAGCTACCTGTAGACGTCGCCTTCATTGATTTCAGCAAAGCTTTTGACAAAGTTCCGCACAACCGGCTGTTATATAAGTTAAGAAATGTCGGGATTGGAGGCAATTTATTGATTTGGATAAAAGACTTCTTAGTTGGGCGTCAACAAAGAGTTCGGGTGAACTCAAAGTTATCTAGCTGGGAAACTGTGCTTAGTGGAGTGCCCCAAGGTACAGTTTTGGGGCCAGTGATATTCCTCTTGTATGTAAATGACCTTCCTTGTCTCCTATCATCATCGGTCTTGCTATATGCTGACGATGTCAAGATATGGAGAACGATACGATGTAAGAGTGATAGCTTAGAACTTCAAAATGGCCTGAAGAAGTTATCTGAGTGGTCTCAAACATGGCAGTTGCCGATAAATACTTCCAAGTGTGTTGTGATGCATATCGGTCATCAAGGCACAGATACATACACGATGAATAACCCTGAGCTACCTGTCGTCCAGGCATATAATGACTTAGGAGTTATCGTTAGTCAAGACTTAAAGACTACTGCACACTGCCGTGCAATAGCCGCCAAAGGTTTTAGAACCTTATGGTCAATACGTAGAGCCTTTAGTCATGTCGACGCTAAGACGTTTTTGACTTTGTATACAGTGTTCGTTCGTCCTAAACTTGAGTACTGCATACAGGCGGCTAGCCTCTGCTTAAAAAAGACAGTGAGCTTCTGGAGAAGGTTCAGAGAACGGCGACTAAGCTGGTTCCCGGAATAGCGAAGCTTCCGTATGAATCTCGACTGGCCAAGCTGAACCTTTTCCCGTTGTCATATCGCAGAACTAGAGGCGACTTGATTACAGTCTACAAATTGCTTAGTGATAAATTTGCACCTAACATGCCCTCATTTTTATTGTCTTCCAAAACAGAGAATTTACGAGGACACTCCAAAAAAGTTCACAAGCCGAGAACAAATTACTTGTCAGCTAACTATCGACTTTCCCATCGAATCATCAACGAGTGGAATTCACTACCTCAGCACGTAGTTGAGGCTCCATCCGTCGACTCTTTCAGAAGAAAGTTGGATCAACTGAGAGACCACCATTGCCAGGACTAACCTAGGCCATCGAGCCTCCTGTCCTTCCCAAACTGAAACTGATTGTTAAGTCTGCTAATTCTGAATAGCAATATTTCAATGATAAATGAGACACTTGCCATAACACTTATTTACTAGTCGTTAAGTTAAGCATCGTAGAATGTCTCACCAATCACTAGAGTTTAGCGTCGTCCCAGTCGCCATCGTGACAAGCGCGATGCACAAACACTGGCCTTGACTATTTAGAAGTTCCTTCGTATGTATGGGCTCTAGTTATAGTTAAATGAAGACCCTGTTTCATTAACAAAGTAAACAGAGATATATTACGAGATACGCTTAGTCTCTATTAGAGCAACGGTAACTGAATTTTCCAGTGTTTTCAAAAATTTTAAAGGCACAAGGGTGTTTGGTTTGTCATATGTAAAGTCTATGAAACAACTAGACACATTTTGGCGTGAAATACATTTTAGCAGCATACCTGATGTCATTTCGTGTTAAAGACCCTAAAAATTCATACAAAAAGCTGTTTGAACGAGTCAAAAATGTATCAGCTAAAATTGTAAAGAGAACGTTAACACAATCGTATTAATGTTCTCTCCGCCAATCGCTTCGTGTCTAAACGCCTTTTCCATCAGTTGAGAATCAGTTCGGAGTCGTCTATTTATGCAAATTCCACCGAAGAACTTTAGCACTCATTACTAGGAATGTAGTTGTATTAATGGTCCTTCTGTGGAAGGACTACATATTCAAACACAGGATTCTGATGTTTTAAAGTGGTATTGTAAATTACTAGTGATCCACATTGAAATAAAACCTCAGAAAGATTCAATCAATAAGTCAAACTCGGAGAGGTCAGAATATGATTACATTGTGTATTGCGACAATATTATTACAGACCAAGACACACCAAACATTTAACTGTGCTATAATTGCATTAACTGTTCGTTATTCATTCCATAGGCTTTTTTGACAGAATATGTAAAAAGTGGTTGCTGCACAGTCATAATACAATGAAATGCCCTAGTGGTGACATGTTAAATATCGACAAGATTGGTTAATTCGCATAAAAATCTTGATCGGAACAGTGGTATCTGTTCGAAGCCGTTCAGAATACAGAATTTTGAGATTTATCCGTCAGTGAAGATCATAATAACCAACCAGATATATAACAATTCATCAATTTTGATTACTGAGAGAACGTACTTTCGAATTATTGCGATGAAAAAACTGCATGAATACATACGAGATTATGTAGTGTTTAGTCTAACGGAGGAAGTGTTTCAAATAAAGTCTGTTTATTTACAACATCGTAGTCAGTTGGATTACTTGCCACCTTCTAAATAAAATCAATACTTAAGTTCATCAGATGAGACAAACATACCTTCCAACCGCCTATTCTGAATATCTTTCCAATTACAAAGCATTTTTTGTCTCTAGTTAAACCTTGCTACACGACCTAGATAGGAAGGCTAGACTTTATATGACATCCTGGTAACTAAGACTGCAGTTATTAAATTTGTCACTCTGAATCCTGACATTTCTACAAACGGCAGCAACGCCGGAAATCGCACTAAGTATGCCTCTAGTAGGAGACGGAACAACACCTGAAGGGACGTTTCTCTAGAATACTGCATGCTTACATCAAATCTATGAGTCTTGATTAGAGATTTCCCTAAAATATATCTTGCATTTCAGGCAAACAGGTTTTTATGAGTTGCTTAGTTGACATGATCTGAACAGAATTCAACCGGAGGACCAGTTAATCTCCAGCGCTTCAATATTTGATGTCTCATTTTAGTAACTTTGGTCACGGTGTAAATAACGTTGTTCATCACACGAGGAGCTTCAAAGATGATAGGCACCACTGTTTTTAGCCACTACACCTTGCTTCCATGTAAAACAAGATAGTTAGGATACTTTTATTTTGTGAACCACTCTGCAACTATAACTACAAACAGTGAGTAGTGCTTTTACGTCGTAAGTCACACATTTAGACCGGGGGAAGCCTTACCGAAATACTGAGGGCAACCATCAAAATTAGCTTTAGTGATTTATAATTAGCTACTCATTTAGAAAAATATATTTTTTTGCTTGTTTGCAGATAATTTTATGGTTTTCTGGTCTAACTGTTCGAAACTAAAGGCAACCAAAAAACAATTCATAATACCAGCATAGAAAACTTAAAGATTCGTCCCATTCAATAAAAATGCCGAACGAGCAGATTCACATTGAGCATTTCATTCAAAGTCTTAGCAGCACTATAAGCTATGTGAAATCTGATATTCGGTTGGAAGCCTCGTCAACCAAACTTCAGTCTTTACCAGTACGTACTTACTTGGAGAGATCAGTCGTGCCAGTACTTATTCATGGCCTTACACAACTGTGTAAAGAAAGGTAACCTAAAAGCAATATACTAAGGTTATTTTTTATAGACCACAGAAACCGATTGAGTATTTAGCAGCATATTTACTGAAAAACAAAAATTATGGACAAGATATCATTACTGGTACCAAGTAATCAACTGAACAAACATAATTACAATTTATGAATAAACAAATCGAATATAAACTTGATTGTAATGCTGGATTCCTTTGCATACACGCGTCAGCAAGCGGAACTTTGGCAAACAATACCTATCGCTAGTTTAAATTCATTCTGGATGTTTTATTTTATGCAACAAGTCTCACACCATCCAGTTACAAAACACGGGTATTACTAGTTTACTGTACGGTTGTCTATAAGATGGATAGTCCAGTCACACTAGTCTAGGTAAAGAAAGATATTGTTAATTGTTACCAGTAGTACCACACGACAAGGCTAATACTCGTGAAGACCTATTGTGTAACGGCTGGTGATACTTGCATGTTGCTTAAACCGGAGGCACAGTGGGGTTTTAACTTGTGTGATCGAATAATTGACTTTCAAGGGATTTGACCATTGAGCCACTGATCTACTTCCCGACCCTCACTGGTCGATTTCCGAATTGTGTGATAAGTTTGCAATATTCCCAGTCACACTTTACACACAGGCAATAAAACCTTTCTACTTACAAAAAAACCACATATGACAATGAGAAGTCAGAAAAGATAATTCGATTTATCAGTGAAAATAGGCCACCACATATTGCTGAGACTGTATTGATCCGTAAACTTTCACCGGACAACTACTAATAGTCGCCAATGGAACGGAGAACAGCTTTTATTTATCCATGAGGTGTTAGTTTTTGTTTTTATTCGGTAAGGACAGATAAAACGTTGTACATTTATGAAAAGAAAAGAAAGAAACGTTGAAACCAACTGAAATACAATTCATAATGATGAAGAAAGTAAATGGTGATATCCATCAACAAAAGACAAAGTAATAATAGTATCATTATTAATAAGGTCTTCCGCGACTGCCACGCCCACCTGGTTGACCTCTTCCATAATTAAAATCACCAGCGACCTGACCCTTTGTAGGCTAAAATGAAAAAGTTTGGAGATTAAATATATTATCCGGGGAATTTTTCAACTCACCATTAATCGAAAACATTCAACTACAACAACTAGTACCGCACGTTTGTAGCAACTGGTACAACGCAATTACAGGTTCATGGAACTGCTGCCAATTAAGCTCTAATATTATAGGTCCTCATGTAGTTTTTCTCATTTGTTCAAAATGGCATACTGCAAAACCACACAGTGAGATACCACTGAAGGAAAAAAAAGGACATGTGGAAAAAGAGAAGCACAAACTTCAATTTGAAGAGAAACGAATTGAAGCGAAACCCTTGATGTGGTCGGTCGTTTTTTTTATCCTATTACTCACCAACACTGATTACCGACATAACTATTTTTTAAAATCAAGCAGATGGACAAGTCCAGAACACTGATTTTTACAGTAAGTAGTTGCAAAAGTATGTTGTTTAATATTGTCGTTACTAAAGTCCCCTTAGCTTTGAATTCATCCCCAAATGAAAAAAAACTTACAAAGTTAGCTGTGTTGTAAAAATATCCCAAACATATTATTCAGTGTTTTCGCTTTATTAGAAAAAACCTTTTGTGCATCTATATAATATACAGTTGTTACTTACATCAAACCCGTGACAGAAATAACTTTACATTATGAGTCTTCATATATTATGTACAACAGAAAATAGTCAAACGACAAAATTCAGCGGAATGACGCTTAAGCACAATAGCTTACCGTCATCAACGCTAAATGCACCAAATGAAAGACTCACTCACAATGAATAAAATAGACATTGGATTATGAACCTTAGTTTGCCCTTTTTGTAGCTGCGAAACGGTGTCAATAGTTGTAGTTGTCGTTTGCTACGCTCAGAAATCTAGTTATGTGTTTAGAAAGGTAGTTATGCATTTTTAACGCTTTGTAAAAATAGTGTCAAATTCAATGCTGCCACTACTACTACTACTACTACCAAAGTAAATCTAATTATCAAGATACAATGTAGCTGTGGTGGACCACAGCGAAGAAAATGTTTTTATATAGGTTATTGAGAAGGAGCAAATTTAAACTTGACCGATACAGTAATCGTGTGTTAGTCACGAACTAATCTAACCATTGACGAAAGGCTAAAGTGACCTGACAGCCCAAACTTTGATGAGTTAATCAGGACTGAAACCTAATGACACAGCGGTTGAGAGATGAACGTTAAGACCAATATGTTACAGCTTCAAATACAGTTAGGAAACTCTGCGCAAGCCACAAAATTCATTTGATCTTCTAGTTTTTTCGACGTTAAGTACCAACTGACATGAGTTGACGAATAGGAAAACATAAGTTAACATTGCAATAATCAGATACTGTTTTACCAGTCAATGAAGGAAGATTTGATCGTTTGAAATGACAGAACAGTAAATCAAACCCATAAAACTATTCCTGATTGACACCTCATGAAAAACACAACTAGTTTAACAACTTATTTTATTGCGTTTTTAACAAAATCCACAGTTTAAAATCCTAGTGTGGAATCTTGATCAAACATACAGATAAACGTTTGGTATTTATTTATTTGAATTTATTATTCAAAGCACTTATTTGACCATTGATTTGCATTCGGAAATGATATATTTACTAACTGTAGTTTAACTCAAGATAAGGTGTTACTCAAGGTTAGTGATGATTAACACAAGGGCAAGTTGGAAAAAGACGCGTAGTGGCCAAATAAAAACACGGCGTTAATTTCCGAAGCCATAAACGTTTGGTTTGAAGCGTGTTTGAAGGTCTGACTATCCTGTTTCAGTTAAGCACAATAGTCGCACTCTATAGCTCAAAAGTGGTCTTAGTAGGGTTGATGTTTTCGTTTCTGTACACCCTGGATTTTATTGATACTCCATAATTATGGCACTTCAAACTGGTTCTTCACGAATCAACATTTGGTTTATTCCACTATGATCAATACTACAAATAATGTCTATTACATAAACTTTGATGTTTATTTTGTGGATTTCCCTTATCTGCATTGATGTGGAATCTAATCTCGTGTAGAGCATTGGTTCCTTTGAAAATCCAGATGCACTTTGACGATGAATACCAAGCAAAACGAAATCATGGATTGGCTTTGAATTTTATCCAACTGTTTATAAGTAATGGTTAGTCGAGGGTCATTTGATTTAACTTTTGATAAACACCTTATCAACAAACAGAACACAGAATCAACTTTAAAATCCTTCTATGAAAATTACACTAGAAACCACTGACGGATTCACGTAATGCTCTGTATGGTAGTGATATATAACAACCTAGTCAAATGTCACATGGTCTGCTAGCTAAATTTTGTGACTTGTCACACTCACACCAAATTCATGCGCTTCGAATAGGGAATATACAACATTGAAATTGTGGAGAAGATTTGTAGCTCAGGTGGATGATTTTGGTGGAGTTTTGTTCTCTGAGCTCAGAGAACTCCACCAAAATATACAACATTTATACGCACAAAAATATGATATATTTAATCGAACGATAGCAACGCAAAAAATGCGGCTTTTTTCAGTCAAACAGCACCTGCATTTATAAAGACTAATGATACCATCCAATTGTCCAAACTAAAGTAGATAGAAGTTGGGGATTTGAATGTCACACCTGTTGGTTACGAATCAACCGTTTCTTCCAAACACTTAAGTCACCGTTTAATTTGGTCTGAAACCATAAAATTATTATTGTGGATAAGGGATAAATATGATAATAGTAACAATGGTACAATCCCTTACTTGAAAGACAAAATTTTGCTGTGAAGCAGCAGATAAGCCAGGTTCAAATAACATCATACCACCCATTTGTTGGCTGATTGAAGCCATTTGATACGGATCAGTCACATAACCATCACACAATGGTACACCTCTTCCATTGCTCGTGTATGGCGTTGCCTGACCATACATTTGAGCATAACTACCACCACCAACTCCTCTGCTACTGATGTTGCTGCCAACAGCACATCTTCCACCATTCCGAGATCCATCACAACTATAACCTTGTCGTGTATAAGGAAGTAAAAGCAACAACTTGAGTATTTGACGTAATTAACAAATGTATGTTTAGCATACATTTTGCTAATGGATTTGTTTTCAGCGAATGAGGTGATGTGTAGTAAATCTATCGATTTTTTCAGTGCATACAACTACTTGTTGTTTCTAGTGGTCGTATATTCCACGAATTGCATAGTTAGATTAGAAAGCTCTTATTGTCGTCATAGGCAGAATCATTCACCTAAATCCCCATCTATACATAAGTATGTAAGCACTCAGTGATATCAATTGAGATTTGATGGTTTCATTTTGTTTCGATACATTTATTTTTCTCTAGGATTACTTATTATAACTTCCGATTAAAGATCCTTTTACATTTACCCAATAATCTCTACAGATTTATAGAATATTTGAATTGTGTAACAATAGAGAAGAAAGCCACCATAATACACATAAACAAGCAAGTGAAGAGGAGTTGCTACCTTGACGCTGTGGTCGGGCTTGCCTATCGTGATGACCGGACCGAACTATATTGGCCGGAACATATGTTCCACCATGCCAGGCAGGTCGACTGGAGAACGGTAAGACTAAAAGCAGCTACTCAAGGTCTGACGGCGAAGTCGTACTGCTGAGTGCAGGGAGGGTGACGTCATTAAGGTGCTTCCCTTGGGTAATCATTACCGCTGCCTTTTCCATCTCTCTTGCTATCGCTACCCACCACTGCTCACGATCACTGCGTAGGCTTCTTGTCAGCTTGCGCTTAAGCTGACTCTGATCTTCGTTATGTTCAGAGCCAGATGGGATGAGTTTTCGAGCATCTATCAGTGCAATAAATGCTGCTGAGATCCAGTTTTGCAAGAAACAGACGGTTATATTATCTGAGCATAGCTGCAACAGACGGTCGCCACTATCTGTTCTTTGAGGCACGACGCTATAAGATCCACCCAGGTGTCATTCCCTTTCGCTTAATTTACCTACTTGAGCAATAAAGTTACCAACCACTTGCTACATCAGAGCGCCTAGCTTTCCGGAGAAGGTCGGAAATCTTTCTGTAAAACTCATCTTTTACATCATCTGAGCTGCAGTCAGTGGGAGAATAGGCAGAGACGACGAAGAGGCAACGACGAGTGTCCCTATCTTTCCGAGTCCTTACTGTTCCGTTTAGTCGGACAACACGAAAACGACTGTCTACTGGGATCCAGTCTAAGAGAGATAGTTCTGCCCTAGGACTCAATGCTATACCTACGCCGGCGAGGCCACGAGAAGCAGTATCACAGCTTCCAGATACACGAAGCGTAAATCGAGTCGGTTCTTTATTTTGACATGGTGAGGTCAGATGAATGACGCTACTCGCGTCCTGTATGCGCCTGTATGCGTCTCGGAGACGCGGCACACACCGATGGTGCGAGATTCTAAAGTGCAAGATAAGGAAGCCTGTTTTCCTATTTGGCACAGTGTTTGGACGTTAAGAGCTCCTACGTGTAGTTTAGAGCGTGGTTTCAGGAGACCAAGAATAACGTTCCACGTACTCCAATCGTTCGCCCCAGCGGTGCGAGGTGATAAAGGGACGCGAGAAGGGTTAGTCGTGGAGATAAGAGAGGTATTAGGAGGTGTAGGAAGGATTTGAATGTGACCAACTTGGTCTCGTGTGCTGTTACGGGTATGAGGGCTGATGTCACTTCCCGGCTGCCCACACCGTGGAGGAACCTGAAAAGCAATTCGGATTATTGTCGGCCTTAACGACCTGGGAGCGTGACCGCAGAGCCCAAGGGACAACTGCTTGAGACCGGTCGCGCACGACCTTTTCATGGGAGGTTTACAATGTGTTAGCTCCGTTCTTCAAAGGGCCTTGCCGCCGGACACGGAAATCCGTGAGGCAAGGTGAGGTGTGACATTTTTAGGGTCGACCTTTTCTAACTCCTTCCTTCCTTTTGAGAAGTCAGCATCGCTGCAGATACTGGTTGCCCAAGGGAAACACCTTAATGACGTCACACACCCCTACACTCAGCAGTACGATTTCGCCCTCAGACCTTGAGTAGCTGCTTTTAGTCTTACCGTTCTCCAGTCGACCTGCCTGGCATGGTGGAACATATGTTCCGGCCAATATAGTTCGGTCCGGTCATCACGATAGGCAAGCCCGACCACAGCGTCAAGGTAGCAGCTACGGTCGGGAATCATCGAAGCACCCGTTTATAGGATTCATACGTTGACAGGAATTACTCAAATTCTTTTCTGGTGATTACTAATGAGAAATACATATTCTTAAAGCTGATAATCATACTTTCTTTAGTACAGTAAACAGAACGAAAAATTGTCAGTAATTTATTTTGAGTATGCAGTTGCATTGAAGGTGTTTGTGTGTAATCAGGATTTATTAGCTGTGGTTTGAACAAACGATGACTTAATTGTTTCTAAATAAATTGTTCCTAACTATTTTAGCAATGATCATCGATCCTTCAAATGCCCTGGTACGGCCGAGAGTGGGGAGAGTCTGCTCTCCCTCTCAAAATGCTCTCACATGGCCACGCGTATAAAGCCTCTGCGAGGGAAGTCCTACTCACTGCCTTCTCGTAGCATTACTGTTTGTTACGAAGTAGAGAGGATGAAAAGCGAATGTCTGGCGCTCTAACCAGGTTGGTGGACACGGAGAGTACACCTAGGGGAGTCGGAAAACCCTGACTCCAAACCAATGATGCATATGGGCTCCAGTATCCTGAGTGAACAAATGGCACATGAACCAATCGTTGGTCACCAGCTAACATGGGACTCCATCTCCTTACGATGCTCCGCTGCCTTGTGAATCAGACCTATAGGTTGAAGGCTCCGGGTGTGGCCCCCTAAGAAAACCGCCTGCTCCAGTCTGCGTACCCTGGAAGTATCCCAGCCCTCATACAAATCGAATGGTCTATGGGGCGCTTATCTATTTGTGGTACCTCCTTGTACCAATGTTTATGCGTTTAAATAAAATAATAAGATGCAAGTGTTCACAAATTATTGAACACAAATGTTTATGAGCCTTAGGATGGATGATATTTACTGTGCAGGGATCTCGATGATATTTGTTAAAAGGTGATAGAATTCGGGAAATTTTGTAGACAGCAAAAATATCATTTAAAAAAACAGAATGATGGGGAAATGTAAAACAAAAAGAGGTTCAGCACAACAGTGATTTGCAAAGAACTGGTACATACAAATGATTGGTGTATAACAGTACATGTAAATATACAAAGAATTTGAACTGGCTGGTATAGAGGGTCCATAAACAATTTGGTATTTAAGAACAATTTACATGAGGAATTGGTTCAGTTAGACAACCAACGTGATCACCGAAAGGCTTGAACGATTTTAGGTTTCATTACACAAAGTTTCATACTGGGACGAGACAATAGTTTAGTGCTCCCTAATTTCCAAATAATTGTCTAGCTATTGTCTAGTAATTGAAGCAATCTACTTACAGACTTTAATCCTGTAGTACATTTACCAAATGTGAGTTCATGTACATGGTTTTAAAACATTCTTGTGTGAGATTTAGTTGTAACACTGTCCAACTAGTTGGATCAAAGTAGATTGAGTGAAGTTTACACATGAGGCCTAATAAATAGAATCCTACTGTTTTATTTGCGAAGTCACCTCACTTGTTTAACTTCGACTTAGATGTCCTCCTAGAAACCACGCTCTTCATCCAAAGTCATATGTTCGGCATGTTTAACTACTGATTAACAATTGTCTATTTGTATTTAATTTATACAGCTGTTCAATACCTGCAGTCGAACAGTTATTCGAGACTACTTGATACGTTACTATGTTTATACAAGCATGTATGATTGGTGATTTAGTTGAATAGACTATAGATTGCAAACCGTAAATTGTTGAGTAAACTTGCAATACTGCTATCACTGTTTTTTATTTCAGCAATATCCTATAGAATAAATCAATTAAAAGTAATGCTCCATTAAAAGACAATAAAAGGTTTACGTCAATACATACGCAGAATCTAAACAAACTACGTATACAGAAGAGTAATTGAACGCTTACCACTAGTACCACCCTGAACACCCCCACGATTGCCATAACGACCGTCGCCACCACCGCCGCGACCACCTCTCTGTGTTACACCACCTCCATCTGGATGACGTTGTTTAAAAGCAGGCATTTCAGGTGGAGGCGGTTCCAACTCCCATGCTCTACCACCTCGATCAGGGACCCATAAAATAGACAAAAATATATATAACAGATCAGTAATATTCTCAGTTGAAATAAAAAGGCGTTAGCAACTGTGGTAAAGTGAAGTATCAGAAATAGCGGTTGCATGTGTCAGCTATAGAAACACTGATTTTCAAAAGCAATTCCAATAGTGTATTCGAAGTTTTTTCCAAGGATGACGAGCTGAGTGTTATTTTTAACACAGTAATTCACATGAAACCAGAAGAGACAAATATTACCATGGTCGACAGATTTCATTATTGAAAGAGATATAATCATCTTAAAGTGAACGTAGAACGCTCGAATTTCAACCGTTAGAGGTACTACTTTCGCACCTTGCTTCGGCTATGTCGGCATTTAACCATCTAACAAATGGAGAGAAACCAGTTGCAAGGAGCTAAGTCTGGTTAATAGAGAAGGTCACAAGGCGTACTGCTCGAATTATGGGACCAGAAACCCTCTGGATAAGCATCTTTGAATGTCCAGGCGGGTTGTCGTGATGCATCACGAATCCATTAGTTTCATACAAATTCGATCTCGCATGAACCCTTAATAGCTTGAGAACCTCCCAATGTATAGGTCAGCACTCATTGGTTGTCCTTCAAAACTTTATGAATATCGTGTACCTGTTAAACAAGTGTAAATGAAAAAAAATCTATAGTACTTTGCGAGGTATTGGATATGATGATTAAACCCAGAAACAATACAAACCAGTGAGCAATGACAATAGGAAATAAATTACATTTTGTTGTCATTAATTGTCAAAAACTACACTTACTTTACCAATTAAAATTTTGTTCAATTCACATGATGTATAACGACGTGCACTTGTACCACTTGTCTTTTCAATTTGCAATATCATGTTGTCACGTACAGCTAAGACATTAGGAATTCCAGGATATGGAATTAGACCCATTCTCTCACGGATTGGATTATATACAGAAGTGATTTTATCCAAACTACACTGTCAGATAAGAAAAACATTACGAAAATTCAGAGTAAAAAAAAACAGAAATTAAAGTAGTACTTTAAACAAAAATCCTGGTGAGAATCGTATTTTAAAATATATGAAAGTAATTGACACAAGCTATAAAAACTGTAGAACCTGCTACAAGTACAGATCGGTTCAATTTGACACAGCTCAACTAAAGTTCCCAATTATAAGCTACGATTACCGAGTGGAATCTAGGCTGGGATTTCGGATATTATAACTGCCAATTAATTCACCAACCAATGGGACACATACTGCCATCTTTATCAGTTTGGCCTGTGAAATTTCATACCCTCACTAATGGTCTACCATTCCCAAATTAGTACCCTCCCTTTAACACTTAGCACTACTTATCCGATTGTTTTATTATACACGAACTATGTTTCGAAGATATCAGTAAATTATTTACATTTACAGACTGTTTCCTGACCATCAAACAATAGGCAGGGGATCACTGGCCAGTATACTCGCTCTTACATCAGTCACAATGTAGAAACTGGTACAAACGCGGTATATTAAGAATCTAAGCTCTAGATATGACAGGTATCCGGTCAACATCGGTCATCGAGTATCTTGTGTAGACAACTGTTTATAAATACTTGTACCTTTTTGATTATGGTTGTAGTTCTCTAAGTTTCAGCTCCGTACAGTAGAACTATCTTGACATTCGTATTGAAGATTCTAATTTTGATATTAAGAGATGGTGGAGAAGATTTCTAGCTCAGGTGGGTGATTTTGGTGGAGTTTTGTTCTCTGAGCTGAATGGTCTGGTCGACCAAACCAGACACAGAGATGTCTAACATTCTCAACTCGGAGAGGCCGGGTTTCACAAGCATAGAGCAAAACTGCTCTCAATGACGCGTTGTACATTCGACCTTTTACAGCCAGACTGACATCACGAAGGCGCCAAAGATGACCCAGATTGGCATAAGCCGCTCTGGCTTTCACTATACGTGCATTGATCTCATCACTCACACCCCACCAGCACTTATGCAGATACCCAGATACACTAACTTCTCGACTGCTTCTATCTGCTCACCATCCAGGGTGAGTACAGGATTACGATCCTGCCAGTCTTGTAGAAGTACTTTGCACTTCGAAGGTGCAAAGCACATACCCATACTTACGGATACTGATTGCCAACCGATTAAGTGTGGATTGCATGCCTTGAGCATCATCACACTGTAAGACAATATCATCCGCATACTCAAGGTCGAGAAGTCTTTCTCCAGGCAACAGATCCACACCACTATTACTTACATCCATCAAAGCTGTTTCCAGAATGTCATCGATGGAAAAGTTGAAGAGGAATGGTGAGATTGGGCAACCCTGTCTGACCCCACTGTTCGAATGAAATAATGTAGAGATGGTTGTATGCCCTCACTCTACCCGAGGTGTTTGTATATAGGGCCGTTAAAATGTTAATAAACTTTCAGGCACACCCTTCTTCAATAGACAATCCCAGAGAACAGTCCTGTCCAACGAATCGAAGGCAGCCCTGATGTCAAGAAACACTACGATTGTTGGCCTTTGATAAGTATGACGGTGTTCTAACATTTAGCGGAGGGTGAAGATATGATCAATACATCCTCGATCAGAACGAAAACCAGCCTGCTCCTCGCGAGTCAATCTTTCTCGGCTTTTGAACAATCTTCGAAGTATGACGGAAGCCAATAGCTTGAACGCAATCAGAAGTAGACCTATCCCCCGATAGTTGTTACAGGAACGACGTGAACCCTTTTTAAAGACAGGGACACCTATCGACTCATTCCATGACGTTGATACACTCTCCAGTTCCCAGACCTTTGTAAACAACGTCTTCAGTTCCTTAGTCAGAAAGTCACCACATCTTTAAAAAGAGCCGGAGGTAAGTCATCTGGACCCGGTGATTTGTAACGCTTCAAGAGTTGGAGTTCCTTGCGGAATTCCGCCTCATTTGGTGGATCAGTCGTCACCGGCCATGGAGGGCAGGATAATCTGACCGGTGTTGCCGGAGCAGCAGGCCAGTTGAACTGCCTTTCGAAAAATTCTGCTCATCGTCCAAGACGTCAATGGATGTTAGTGATTGGCATCCCATCATCCTCGCAGATTGTTTCGCTCACACCAGACTTCTTGCTGCCAGTGGCTCGGATGAGTTGGAAGAGATTCCGGTACTTACCAGATGCAGCACGCTCCGACCACCGGACTTCTCGGTCCTTACTCAAGCTTTTCTCAATTTCGTTACGTAACAGTCGTTCTTTGTGGTCAAACTCACGAGTACCCGGAGTAGACCGAGTGGCTTCAATGAGTTGTAAGGAACCAGATGAAACCCAGTGCTTATAAGCGAGACGTTTCGCAAAGCCGCAAGTGGCTTTACTCGCCATTTTCATGGCGTCGTGAAGTTGCTACCAATAATACTCATCTATACTTTTCGGTGGAATGGTAGCTAGCCTAGAAGCTAAGCTCGGTCCGATACTTACCAGCAACAGAAGTTGCAACCAACTTGCTGACATCAATCCTTTGGTGGCGATCACTTCGTTAGCCACTGAAAGGTAAGGCAAGATTTGCGCAGACCAAGGCATGGTCAGAGTCCAGATAGGTACTCAAAAAGGAGCGGCAGTCTTGTACACAACCACGCCAGCGGTAGCTGATCGCGATGTGATCAATCTGAGCGAATTTGTAGTACTTCACCAGAGTCTTGAATACGTCAGTCAGTCAGTCAGCTACAACGTAGGACCAGGCACATATGTGCATCGGTCCAGGTTGCCATACCTCATTAGCACAGCAAGATGAACAGCGGATTCATAGGAGTGGTTAGGTCAAAGGTGGTAATATATAGGAGAAAGATTGCAATAAGGATATAGTATAGGAGGAAAGAATTAGTTCGTAGAAAGAAAGATATGAAGTGATTTTAATCTCTTAGTTTAAGGAAAGACAGGGAGTGTATACACCGACGCCATTGTGATCGATTCTGAGTCATGTCACCAAGAGTCTCCAACCATTGGTTACGAAAGTCACGCAGACCCCAACCAAGTAGTCTGCATCTACCAACATGGCTCAGACTAGAAGTTAGTGACTTCAGGGACTGATGCCACGTTTTGGTTTGGCCGCCCCTAACTTTCTTCCAACCATCCCCTACACCGGTTAGCATTGCACGTCGTGGTAGTCGGTGTTCGGGCATACGTAACACGTGGCCCAACCATCTCAGTCGATGAAGATTCATAACCTCATCAACTGACTTACCATCATTCCCTAATACCCTGCGTCTGACCTCACTATTACTTACCCGGTGATCCCAGCAGATGCCAGCAATATTTCTAAGGCATCTGTGGTCAAATACTAGTAGCTTACGGGTGTCTTCTACTCTTAATGGGCATGTTTCGCTGCCATAAATTAAAACAGAACAGACTGCCGCGCAGTATACTCGTCCTTTTATTGATAGACGGATATCTCGTCTCCGCCAAAGGTGACGTAAGTTGGCAAAAGCCAAACGAGCTTTTCGAATCCGTGCTGAGATTTCGTCAGACACCAACCCATTAGGGCTGATCAGACTTCCAAGATAAGTGAAGTTGTCAACGCGTTCGACTACTTCACTCAATATCCTTAGTTCAGGTGTTGACGCAGACCAGTCCTGAAGCAACAACTTGCATTTAGAGGGAGAGAAGCGCATTCCAAACATTCTGGCATTGTTGCTTAGTGCTACCAGAAGACTCTGCATTTTGTCAGCGTCTTCACCAAACAGGACTATGTCATCTGCGTATTCTAAGTCGATAAGTGGACCTCCTGGAAGGAGATCAATACCCGAGAATTCAGTCGACGAGAGTGTTATTTCCATCAATAGGTCTATGATGAAGTTAAACAAAAATGGAGAAAGTGGGCAGCCTTGACGGACACTACTTGAGGTTGCAAAAGTTGATGACAGTTCGCCATAAGCCCTGACTCGACTAGTAGTGTTCGAGTAAAGAGCCTTCACAAGGTTT